TTACGACTCAAGAGAGGGTAATCAAAACGAGGTGTAAATTTCAAGCAGGTAGATTTAATTAACTTGCATGATAACTTTTTAGAATTATGTGCTGTGCAGTGGAGCATTGAAACAAGGCTACAGTACAGCAGGTAAACAAGATGCCTGGGAAGGCTTTTGAATTATTTTTCATTGGAAGTTTTAGAGACATCTTGTAGACGAACAGCATAGTACAAGTTGGAACTGCAGCTCTGAGTTGTCATGCAAGAGGAACATGAATGTATTCAAATGTAAAGAGAACTGATAATTGTTGATAAGTGAAATTATTGCCTCTGTAGCCCTACACTCAATTTCTTTGTGAGCCCATGGGGCACTGATTAACTTCTGGGACACAAGGGGTTCCTTGTTAACACTGATTTCACTAGTATACAAAAGATGGTGAATATAATAAACAAATGGCTTTTTTTTTTTGCATTAAGGATGGACCTGGGAATAATGCACTCAGATGTCTCTGGAGTTGGGGTCCTATTAGAAATATAAATGAAAACGTCAGGGGAACTTTGCTGTTATGGAGCTGGAATATAGTGGATGAGTTTAATGATCTTTAAACTCATCTTTATTGAATGATCATGTATTTGAATAAACCACTATGCATTTATACATACCCTTGAAAAGCCCTTGGATTTAATGTTGGAAATTGTGCATCAAATGTTCCATCTGGCCTGGAGGGTAGCGAATGGCCATGCTGACTAGGATCCTGAAACTTGTTTTAAAAATCAGCTTTCCTAGCTCTGAATTGGGTCTATGCACAATCCATCTGGATCCTGTGAAAGTCATATGCAAGGTTTCCTCTAAGATGTGTGAACGCATGCAACTCCATCCCCTCGCGCAGCTTCCCTCCTCCGCACATCCACATTGAGCATTTCCAGCCCCTTTGGTTCCGGTTGCAACGGAACCCCATGCAGGGAGCAGAGTCGCACATGAGAGGGTTGGAGCCCTGCCCAGCAAGGCTGAAAATTAGAGAGAACATTGGCCATATGCATAGTATATACCCAGAGGGTGCTTGCTTAGAAGTCACTGCTATCAGGTCAGAGACTTAGGTTAATATCCTATTCCAATTCTGCCCAAGTCCTCACAATCTCCAGCCTGAGTTATACAAGCCAATGAATGCCCCGTTGGTTTAAATGGATCTTCCTTTGGTGCAAAGGGTTGCTGGATTCTTTGTTGTGTGAGCAGCAGGGAAAGAAGAACAATGCACAGAACATACTATTTTACGAGTGTCCCCTTCCTCCCTTACTGTTCCTTGTGTGTCTGTCCAGAAATCCTGCACTGGTTTGAAGAGGATGACCATCCTTGCTTAAAGGTTTTACCCACTTTTTGTAATGTGGGATTATCCCATTGAGAAGTCTATTTTCTCTTGCATCATCACAGCGGATTTCTGGAAACTGACTGGAACCTAAGAACAGGTTGATCCTTATTAGACACCCATAAAATAGCTTGCAATAGATAGTGTTTGTGATGTGTGCCATTTAGTCAGTTCTGTGGCAATGTGAGCATGATTTCCAAAGTATTTAAAGATACTATTTGCTAGTGCCACTCCCCATGGAGTTTTCATGACTGAATAAGGGATTCAGACCTAGTCTGACACTGTAATCACTACACTGCACTGCAATAGATAATATCAAAGTTAAAACTGCAATAAAATAAGGGTGAACAACATCACAATTGAGGAAAATCTCTGTATTCCTCATTTCTCTGTCTCCCATTCAGAGGGTGCATACGGACAAAGAAGATTTACCTATTTTTACCTGAATTCTATTGCTTGTGCACATTCTACCCTATCATTAAAATATACCAGATCTGGGGATTTTGCCCTTTCAAAATACTTACAAGATGTAAGACAGAACAGTCTTCTTCTGATGGAGGGGTATGTTCATGGCTGTCCTGTTGCTAATTTTTACTTTGTAATTTTTCTTTCATCTATCTGCAGATTTTAGATATTTTAAATTTTAAGGCACTTAACATATGACTTAGGCAGGTGGAAAGTGGGAACAAATTAGCTCAAGACATTTTGGTACCAGAAATTTTGAAAAAATCAACGCAGCACCCCTCCTACTAATTAAGTAGACCTGTGGTAACGATGTTACACAGCAGATCTATCTGTCTCTAATTATTGCATCTGTTATAACACAATAAATATATGTACCAGTTTTTCTTGCATCATAGATGGGGTAGTTGTGAGTAAGAGGTAGGCCTTAACTTACTTCTTATTACCTATGGCAAAATATGAGATAATCACACACTCGGAGAAGCACAGAAAGCCCATGTCTTCTGACTCAATTAGGTGAACCTCTGAGACATTTGACTCTTCTGTTCATTTTCTTCTTCAGAGATGAATTACTTGCATGTTCTTCCCCTCCACCCCAACAGCATTATTAGGTGCTCCCTCAGTACCTCCCTCCTTGTTCAAATCATTAGAAGCAGATCTCTACTTTTTTCATGTAAATAGCCTGTAAAGCAGTAATGACCTGCATTGACCCCTTTTTTTCTTCAGCCTCTATTACAAAATTTGGTGCTGTGAAGAATGGTAAAGAGAACACACTTTAAGCTCAAAACAAATTGCATGTTTTTTTTAAAAAAAGGGGAAATGAGGATTCCAAGAGCCTTCACAAATAATCAGTTCTCCAACAGAACAAGAAGCATTGTCTCTGGGTGTTTTATTTTAAACATAAAATGCTGAAAATAAGATATATACAGTGTTTACATTTCTCCTTCTGAATTTTTGTGGCACAGTTGTGGCAGCAGCTGAGAATTGTTTTTGGAGTTTGGGAATCAGCTGTTGGACCATCAAAGCCGTCCACCCCTGCTTAGATAAATCTTTCAAAAAGTTATCTGTTCATTTGTAAGATTTGTATGGCTCACTTTTTGAATTCTATAGTATCTCTGGTTTTCCCAGCAGAGATGTATCTGAGACTATTGAGGAAAATAGAACTACTCTTTCGTGACCTATTAGAGAAAAATGTCCAAAATTCAGTTCCTACTAGGTTGCAAAGCAAAATCATTTGGGAAGAAAGTTAAGTTTGTCAGCGACAGAGAAAGAAAGGAGGATGCCAGAAAAGAGGAGAAAGGCTAGATTCTCTGACACATGTGCTAACACACTGGTTCACATAATTTGCTGGTTTGTGACCTCCAACAAGATTTCATCCAAAGGAAGAAAGGCCTCAAAGGGAAAAAGTTTCATCATTCGTATCCTAAACCAGTGGTTGCCACTTGCCAACCTTGGGTAACCCAAGTGTTCTTGGATTGCAACTCCCAGAAAGCCTAACCAGCATAGCTGGTTGTGAAGGCTTCTGGGAACTGCAGTCCAAGCACGCCTGGGTTACTCAGCATTGGGAACCACTGTCCTAGAAGAACCAAGGCAACAGTTGTATGGAGAACATACTCTGTATATACTCTGGCATCCAAGTCAACCAATTTATATTCTTAATGAAAAATGAAGGCTGTGCTCCTGGAATTATTTGAAGATTTTATTCCCACAATGGGTTTTGTTTTAGAATGAATATAGAAGTATGTAGAAGCAATTTACCAAAATTAATTTGAGCATGAATCTCTCTCTCTTTTTTGGGGATAAGCACTGGCAATTTTACTTGTTCAGTCAAGTTCAATGTTTTAAAGTTGGTTTATTTCCATTTTTTGTGTATCACATTGGGTAAAGGTGAGCTCTTTAAATTACTAAGTACTGCCTTCATACAAAACAAGGATTTAAGAGCGTTCTCTTTTCAATTAGTACAGGAGATATTTTTCATGCCTCTTGCAGAGGAACAAAGCTTTTATTTTTGTACTTTAGGCTTTTGTTAGAAAGGGAACTTGTGATTAGAGCATGACTGTGTGAAATTGTGGAGTGATTAAGATCTAAAAAGTTTTAACAAAAGTACCAGCTAGGGAATTGGTGGGATTAGCTCGCTGAAGTTGAGACTCATGGGGTGCTTGAAGGTGAGCAGCATATCAAATGTAGGCTTTTATTTTGGTGACTCTGATGATGATGAGCAGTATGGAAGAAAAGTTGGGTATGTGTCTTTAAAAAAACACGTGCAACTCTGCAAGACTTCAGAATTTTTTACAACTAGTTTGACATCTGTCACTTCTTTTAAAAATGGCATCTATGAAGAGGACAAAAAGGAGGTTGTATTGCAAGTACTTTTTAATAATAGGATTTCATTATTTGTTAAAACAAATACAGAACATCTCTAAAATTTGAGTTAGCACTTCCAGATAATGCATTTGTGTAGTCGCAGTGCTAGATAATCTCTAACACTATAGTATCTGTTTTACAGTTTCTGCATTATCATAGTTTACCCTTTTTCTGCAGACGTATATCTGTATCTTTATGCACTCTCAGTATGTTTGTGTAAAATTAGAAGCACTTTACTGTATTACTGATCCATTCAGGGCAGTGCATTCTTCAGGAATATGAGCAACATGATCTATCCGTGGTCGACCAGGATTTGCTTTTCCTCACTGCATGTCATTTATATCAAAGTTTCTCAATGTTTCTTTGGTCTTTCACATTCCTTGAACTTCACCTCCCAGAATCCCTCGTCTGTGGCCAGAACTTCTGTGGGTTCAAAACGTTAGTTCAAAACGTCTTGAAGGCTACGGGCCTCAACTGTGAATTATTCAAAATTTTTGTTGATAGCCGTTGTACATGCTGATGGTTATATATTCAAACATGTTGACCTGCACGCTTAAAACACACACACAGCTTCTAAAATATGTTCAGGCTTAATGTGGATAGAAACGTTTTATCCTAAACTGTAAAGGATTGCTAATCATTTGAGTTTAAAATATCCTGCCTCAAGAACCATTATTTGCTGTTAACTGTATCAGAAATGTATATGAGAAGCTGTATATATGTGCCAGTTAAGACTGTGACAAATTTGCCTGTCTGCTACCTCCTGAATGTTGCAGTTTTGTATAGAAAAGGACTTTGCACTTATGTATTTCCCCTTGTCTCCCTACAGTCATAATGAACGAAAAGTGACTTGCAAACATCCGGTGACTGGGCAGCCATCACAAGACAACTGCATTTTTGTTGTGAATGAACAGTAAGTTATTGTTTTGCTCAATAAATCTGGGGTTAATAGCTATTTTCACTAGGGTTGACCATTCAAATATTTCAGTTGACCTGCAAACTGACCACATATTGTGTGACTACAGTCATTTTAGATTGCATCATAGTATGATCTAATAAAGAAACCAAGAATGAGGATTTTTTGAGTGCCTCACCATCAGTCACACCACACGTGTGCATCTATGGATCATGGTTCCCTAACTGCAGTAAAAACAGTCTATGCTTTGTACAAGGTTCTAATATAACTGCTGAATTAATACCTCAAAAATACTTGTCTATTTTTTGACATTTGATCATTTCTAATCAATGATCACTTTCACTTCATATATTTATTAAGGTCCTTTAACCATTGATTCATTGAATATATTCTGAACATCTTTTTCTCTTGCATTTCAGAGGAAAGAATTGAATTTGGTTTTGTTAATTGCCTACAGCTACTGGGTGTTATAGAGATATTTTTTAAAAATAACTTCAGAAACCTGCAACCTAAGCTTTTAAAGATTGAAATCATATTACAGAAATAAATGTTGCAGTTGGTGTTTCTCTTATATCAGTGTGTCTTTTCTTTGTGGGTACAAATGTGTTTGTTTTGCACTATCCTGTTTGTTCCCAGAACAAGGAAATCAATATCCATTTAAACATTAGGGAGTGTGATATTGTGGGTACAATTTTGTTTTGTCCCATCCTGTTTGCTCATACAGTAAGCAAATCAGTTCTGGTGAGAATATGTAAGTGAGGAATTGTTTATCATCTTTTATTGCATTTGGCTCCCCTCTGTATTTGTCAAAGTTGGATTTACTTGAGTCCAGTGGTTCCCCAGATGTTCTTGGACTAAAACTCCCAGAAACCTGTACCACAGACTATGCTGGCCAGGATTTCTGGGAGGTGTAGTTCAAGAACATCTGGGAACCCAAGTTTGGGAACCACTGCTTTAGTCCTTTATTGAGAGCCAAAATAATAAGTGTCATCACTAATCCATGTCTGTTTGATTGTTGAGGTGGCTGCTCCAGGATGTAGTGATGACCATCAGCCAGGATGGTTTTACAATTTATGGAGGATAAATGTTCCAGTGGTTACTAGACTTGGGGCTTTGTATATGATCTTTAGTCTCAGAGGCAGTATTCTTCTCAGCACCAGTTTCTGGTTTGCATGAGCAGGAGCTGCTGTCGTACTCATCATTTGTTTGGTCATTGGCATATGTCACAAGATAGTATATCTTCCTTCCTCCACTTGCCTTTTGCTAACATTTCAGCCTTGTGTATGCTATCAACTCACTGTTTTCCCTCCGTCCATCTGTCATAAGCAGAAGGTTTTTTTCTTGACAGGCCCATGCTTATAATATTTGAGCATGTGACCCTCACAGTCCATGATAGTAACACATCAGCTGGTATCTTCAGCCTCTAGGTCTACTCCCATAGCTTACCTTCAGTTTTTCTTTATCCTGTATATATTTGATTTGTCCAGATTCTCTTCCTACCGTCTTGATTGTCTGTCTGTCCTTTGAATTCATGCATTCCCTTATTTGGCTATGGTAATTTTGCTGTCATTCAGGAAATTCGGACTCATAGCTTACCTTCAGTTTTTCTTTATCCTGTATCTATTTGGTTTGTCCAGATTCTCTTCCTATCATCTTGATTGTCTGTCTGTCCTTTGAATTCCTGCATTCCCTTATTTGGCTATGGTAATTTGGTGTCATTCAGGAAATTCAGACCTTAGAAGGGAGCACCATGATTCAGTTGTGATTTAGCAATTGAGACAGCCTTTGACTACCTGAAGAAAAACTGCTTAGACAGGTGTCACCATGTTGTAATCAGTGCTCTCCATGAAGGAAACCCACTTTCTGCTTGCACCATGGCAAAGCTTGCAAAGTGATGTGGACGAGAATTGTTGCTAACCAATGGAACTTTCCACTCAGTTGAAGCTTAGTAAAATGTTTGTCAAGGTATGGAGGTTATCCAGCCAAAGATTGCAAATACCAGACTCCTGCAGGCATCCCTCACTTAGTTAATTCCAGAGGCTTACAGCTGATGCGAATGAACTTTTTGCTTACCTCAGTTTTGTTACCATTCATATACATCTAACTTATTAAGTAGTGCCTCTTTCTGCTAAAACAGGTTTGAGTACAACTCTTCCTTATAAATGTGATTGAGAATATTGTCTGTATCAAATGTATATGCACACCCACTTCCTTCAATTAATTTAGCACCATAGGCTTGAGAAAGGGAGGCTGAAACCGAAGAAATATGCTTTATGATCTGTTGAACTCCACTAGCAGGTAGTTTTTCTTTAAATCTCTTCGCAGGTAACTTTGCCACTATATCTGAGGTTGCTTGCTGGGAAACTGAACAAGGACCTTCTACAACTTTTATTGGAGTTATTACTGGAAGTGCTTTTAATAGCAGTCTTCAAGCACAGCAGGTTCTAGCATTATTCCATATTGTGTTTTCAGGACTGCAGCAACTATGACATCTGAAGAAAAGAAAGATCGGTCGGTAAACATGATAAGTGAAGCTGCACACTATAATTTGACATCAGAGTATGCTGGACATCCAATGAGTCCTCTGGGCAGAGTAAGTTGTTAAATTGGACATACATTGTTTATTAGCACAAAAATTATTCTGCTACTCAGTACAATCTGGCACCGAGTCAGAACAACATGGAGCTAATGAGGCAACTCTTCTTGTATTTAAATTTTAAGGCACTCTCTGTTTGCTATTATTGCTGTGGATGTCATTATACAGTGGTGCCTTGAGTTGCGAACTTAATCCATTCCGGAAGATGGTCGTAACTGAAGTTGGTCGTAACTCAAAGCACCATTTCCCATAGGAATACATTGAAACACGATTAATCCATTCAAAGCATTAGTTCCCATAGGAACTAATGCAAAAGCAGTTAATCCGTCCACTAGGAGGATATTTTTTCTTTTTTTTAAAGCAGTTAATCCGTCCACTAGGAGGATACTTTTTCTTTTTTTAAAAACCTAAGATAACCTCTAAGGTTTTAAAAAATAGGGCAGGAAAGGAGGGAGGGAACAACAGGGAAAAGAGGCCTTTTTTCCAGTCATATCTCACAAGTCAAAGCAAAATTTTGCGGCCGGAGCTGGTCGTAACTCAAATTGGTCGCAAGTCAGGACTTTCGTAAGTCGAGGCAACATTGTACTCTTAGTCTTATCATCATAATCATCTTTACTCCTACCGTTTAAAAGGTGCTCACTTTGTTTAAGGTAAAAACTTTTCTCATGGTAGCTTCCAAAGTAAACAGTGAGTTAATAAAACAGAGCAAAAATAAGCAAGTCTTCCAGAAACATGTTAAAAAGCCAATGAATAAATACAGTTAAACGAATAGGAGCCCAATCAAACCATTCTTACTTTTTAAAATATTAATAGTGAACAAATTATTCTTTAAGGCTTTTCCAGAAGTCTGTGGTGATGAGGCTTAATAGACCTCTGTTGATTTTATGATACAGGACCTTGCTCAGAAAGCACTGTTGCTCACATCCACCAGCCTAGTTGTTTTTTGTTGGTAAGCACATATTAGTTACTGTTCTTGAGATGCAGGCAGGCTGATATAGGTCATTTGCACCAAAACATTTTGGGCATCAGAGGTCAGGTTAAAATTGTGCTTGAAAACTCACTGGCAACCAGAGTATAAGCTAAACATCACATGATCTTACAGTTACTGCCCCAGTCAGCCACATTGTGCTCCAACTGAAGTTTCTGAAATGTCTTTAAAACAATCCCATGTAGAGTAGATTGTAGTAGTTCAGCTTGGGTGTTACAGGTATATGGGAAACAAATAAAAGACCAGAACTCTTCAAATACACAAACCAGCCTGATCTATTAAAGACTGCTTTTGACAACCACTCTTTCCTAAGCTTTTCCAGTCCTTTCACACTCTGCAGTTCTAAGATGATGATGACATTCAGATTGAATGAAAGAGAAGCTAAAGTACGACTGTCCATTTCTCCCAAGCTTGTTTTTTAAGCTGGGACCCCTGAAAGCTCCACCTATTTAATTATCTCATCAGCTGTTTTCCTATGGAATGGTTATCTCAGCTTCTTGTATAGCCAGGCCATTCAAACTAAAACTAATCATCACAAAGCTAGCAAAATGAAAACTCTCTCTGAGCCTAGTTGTTATCTCATTATCGCTACGCCACAGCAAAGAGAGCCTATTGTTGTAATTACCATGGTGAATGGATTTGTTGAAGACTTCCTTGATTACAGTCTCAAGAGGCAAGATGTCTATCTGTGCTAAACAGTAGTGCTAGATTTGATTTAAGAATGGAGTGTAGATTTGAAGTAAGAAGACCGAGATCAGTCATCTCAAATACATGGCCCTGGAAAAGACTTTGTGTTTCCAAAGTGGCTTGAAGCACCCTAATGCACGTCACACAATTCAGTAAAGAACCTCATAACACAAATAACAAATTGACATTCTTATTTAAAATATATCCACTGCTGAAATTGTGCCCTGTTGTATCACAACTGTTCTTTGAAGTAGCCCAACCATGGAAGTGGATCTTTCAGTCCAATTTGAAACAATTTGTCTTAATGCCATAGTTTCCATGCCATACTATACCAACATTGCTATTGTAACAGAGTGTGACATAAAAGCCAACATTCTGTTGATTGGGATAGTAAAATCACACTAGAGTAGGCCCACTGCATCTAGAAGGATTTGCTGTGTCAACTCCCCTATAAGTTCTATTGATTCAAATGACCGTACTCCAACTGTGATTTATTAGCACAGTGCATACTAGTTAGAGAAAACCCTTTTGAATCTATGGGACTTATGGAGGAGTTGATTCACTAAATCTGTGTTGATTCAACAGGTCTATGCTACTGTAATTTACTACACCAAACAAATTTTGGGCATGATTTTCATGTTTGCTCTTTCTCCTTCTTCTATCTTCCCACTTGTCATGTACATTTTCATGTTTGCTCTTTCTCCTTCTTCTGTCTTCCCACTTGTCATGTAAGTGCCTTGGGACAGAGAGTAGGTCTCATGTTTTACAAAGTGCCATGCACAGACCGAGTTACAGTGGTGCCTCGCTTAATGACGATAATCCGTTCCAGGAAAATTGCTGTTAAGCGAAAACATCATAAAGCGAAATTAAAAAGCCCATTGAAACGCATTGAAAACCCCTCAATGCATTCCAGTGAGCTAAAAACTCACCGTCCAGCGAAGATCCTCCATACGGCGGCCATTTTCGGTGCCTGTGTAGCGAGGAATCCGTCTCTAAGCACAGCGGGGAGCCATTTTAAGCACCTGACAGCCATTTTGAAAACCCGACGATCAGCTGTTTTTGATCGTCGTAAAGCAAAAATTGGTTCCCGAAGCAGGGAACCGATCATTGCTAAGCAAAATTCCCCCATTTAGACTATCATTTTGCAATCGCAATTGCGATCGCAAAAACATCGTTGCAAAGCGGATTCATCGTAATGCGGGGCAATCGTTAAGCGGGGCACGATTGTATTTTCAAAATATAAATAGTAGATGTAGCTCCGTGGTAGGGGATTTGGAATTCCAGCATTATTTAGATTTTAAGCCTACCACATTGTAGGGTTAGCACTTCTTTGTGTCCAAGCTTCATCATTGACACAAGGGTCTTTGAAGGCTTTTCACTTCTCATTACAACCTAATGGCACTGGAACGTTGTGGTTATAGTTGCAGCTGTCCATGTGAGAGTGATTAATGCCTCTTTGTAGCTCACAGAAAGTCACTTATGCTGCTGAACCTCTCAGTGCATACATCGTTTTTGAGCTAGATTAGTGTGCTAATTGTTAATTGTTCCCATATGAAAGATTGACACAGATGAGTGACTCCGAAAAGTGTCCCCAGATCTTTACTCACATATGGAGTTTGCTAGCATCTGTACAGCTGCTTTTTAGGATCTCACATTTCTAGCTACTGTAGACTGGAAGAAGATAGAAAACAATGACTACTTTGCTTGGCATTTTACAATGTGGCTCACACATTCTGTTTTCCTGTGTTTTTCTCTTGTTTTGAAATGTTCTGATCTTGGGCACCATGTCTGATTAATTAGATAGGATTAGTTCATTTGAAGATAAATGCAGGGGGTTGTAGGAGAGGAAGTTTGGAAACTTTGCTGTTCTTTTTAGAAACAAAATAAGGCTTTCTTTTTACGTGTTGTACATATAAGTCTGTTTGTGCCTTTCACATCTAAGGAAGAGTAGAGCCATGTTTTTAAAAACCTATGTACAGTGGTGCCTGGCTTAACGATTGCCTTGCTTAATGAGGAAATTTCTTGACGATTAGGTTTTTCTGATCGCAATAGCGATCGCAAAACAATGGTTTAAATGGGAAAAATCCACTTCACGATGATCGGTTCCCTGCCTCGGGAATTTTCTCATTACGACGATCTAAAACAGCTGATTGTCGGGTTTCAAAATGGCCCCCCGCTGTTTTCTAGGACGGATTCCTCACTTTACAGGCAGCGAAAATGGCCGTCCCTATGGAGGATCTTCGCTGGACGGTGAGTTTTCAGCCCATTGGAACTCATTGAAGGGTTTTCAATGCGTTTCAATGGGCTTTTTTATTTCGCTTAACGAAGATTTCGTTCTACAGCAATTTCGCTGGAACAGATTATCCTCGTTAAGCAAGGCACCACTGTATTATGAAGCTCTGTAAATCCTGCAGTCAGTCAACTACTGCTCATCAAAATAAGAAAAGATATTACTCCTAAGAATAATAATCTTGGATTCTCTGTGCATAATAAAATACCTAAGGGAAAAGATATTGTAGCTGCTTTTCAGTGACTGGAGAGAAAAAGGCTTTTGAAATTGTTGGAACTGCTGCCCAGTGGAAAAGGAAGCCTGCAGCTACACTTGAACATAACTAATAAGCTGGGCTTTATACACACAGGCCTATGTTACAGAACACTTGTGGGGTTCAAGATAAACCCAAGGCTTCATCCTTACATGGTAAATTCAGAGTGAAGTGGTGATCCCTATCTTTTCATCAGCCGTGAACATGAACAGAAATTAGTACCTGTGTCTGGGTGGTCCAAACACCTGATAGTCAGGGAAATGTATAGTCAGTGTGTCTCTACTGCTCCTGGATACGAGCTGGAAGAGAAACAATAGAGATGTTTCAAAAATCTGGCACAATATGAAAGAAAGATCAACACTGGAGATATTCAAGAGAAAGTGTCGGATATACTTTTGATTTGGATTCCTGCATTGAGCAGCGGTTGGACTCTATGGCCTTATTGGATCCTTCCAACTCTATTATTATATGATTCTATGACCTTTTGATTGGATGATCAGTTTTTTGTGCATAGGTGACAAAAAAGCAGGACAGTTTACTTGGGAAAGGCCCCAGTTGGATTAATGTGAAACTGTTCACAGCTGAGTTTCCAGCAGTCAGGCTTGGCCTCCTGATTCTTGGTAATAAGCTGTAGCTGACTCTTAGACATTCAGCTAGTCTTTGAAAAAATAATCGTGTTGCTGACCATTGAAACCTTGCAGTTGTTCACCAGTAAAAGTTAGTCCAATTAGTGTTTTCACCTTGCCTACTTTTATGATGAGTGGATGGGCCCACAATAGCAATGACATACTGTCAAGTAGGTCAAGCATAAAATGCAACCTACATCCAAAGTGCATTCAAGTGGGAATAGTTTTCATTAGTTCATCAGAGTCTAAAACTCATTCAGTTGATGGGAGATGACAACAGAAGTAATTAAGCAAAGAAGAAAGGGAGCGAGAATGATAGAACATGCAGTCTTGCAACAATAGCTGAATTAGCCTCCCTTTGGTATTAATCAGAATAGTTTATGAAGGTGATACCTAGGGAAATTATTCTGACCATTGTACAAGAGTTAGTTTTTGTGCAATGCGAGAAGGTTGGAAGAGGTGACTAGCAATCTCTGCAAAGCCTTAGATCTTGTGTCCTTGGAGATGAATGCTAATAGAGTGTATCATGTTTTATAGATTGTATTGGCTGTGCCCCACTTTATAAACTCTTGCTGAAATAGTGTAGTAAAGGAATAGAGCAAATCCTTCTCTCCTGATAGGTGCATGTAAAACACAGGACCTTTCTTTCATTTTGGAGACAGTGTAGTCTCATTTGGAAGCCTACATAGGCTGCGGTCAGCCTGCTTGTGCAGGCCCATCCTTGGTTAAATGTCTGAATTGCAGAGATCCAGAACTTCAAAAGTTATTCATAAAATATTTTCAGTTAGTTTTAAATAACTCTGCACTCCATTTTTCAGAGGTTATTACAATAATTATTTTTTACTTTGAAATGAAGTGAATGCTACAAGTTGCAGAAATTTTCTTCCAGACCACTCCGTCTTCCAAAGCATTGCTAGTGGTTTTATATAACCTCTGACTGCAAGGTTTTGAATCATGGAAAAAATGTCATTTGCAGCCACATAATTGTTTGCAGATTCAGAAGCTCAACACTGTTGAATATGCAGAAAAGCCATCAGTTGCTCTACTGTGAAAGAGAGCTGAGAAAAATCTGAAGATTTTACAGGTGGTTAAATATAGCACATGAAGGAAAAGCTATCTTTTAACTTGAATGATCTTAAACTTCCATAAAATGTATCCTTTTTTAAAATGTATTTTCCTTGTAAAAATGAAGAGGCTAAAACCATATAGAGAAGTTCAAATTAAGACACTGGTTAAGAAATATTGCCTGTCCTCTTTCATAAACTCATCAAATAATGGTGTTAGAAGGGGCTTACGTATAAGGCTATCGAGTCCAACTCCCTGCTCAGTGCAGGAATACAAATCAAATTATATATGCCAGGTGGTTGTCTCCAGTGTTGGAGCATTCACTACCTCTTGAGGTAATTTATTTTTATTTATTCATTCATTATTAGATTTTTATCCCGCCATTCTAGACAGGAGTCTACTAATTGGTTCCATTGCTGTACTGCTCTGACAGTTAGGAAGTTTTTCCTGATATTCAGTTGAAATCTGGCTTCCTGTACCTTGAGCCAATTATTACATATCCTATACTCTGGGATGATTGAGAACAGATCCTGCCCTCCTCTGTATGACAACCTTTCAAGCATGTATTTTTTTGTTTGTTTAACTTATATGCCGCCCACACTACCCAAAGGTCTCTGGGCAGCTTACAACAATTTAAATACAGTAAAAAGATAAAACAGTTAAAATACATTGGTCTAAAAATTGCCATCGGGGCCCACAGTTGATATTATTTCAGTTAAAAACCTTCTGGAATAGGAAGCTTTTGACCTGGACATGGTCAGCCAGGAACAAGCGGAACCACTGTAAAGCAGTGCCCCCAACTCCCAACCCAGCCAACCTATCCAGAAGGACACCATGGTCGATGGTATCGAAAGCCGCTGAGAGGTCCAGGGGTATCAGTAGGGTCACACTCCCCTTGTCTCTCTCCCAGCAAAGGTCATCGTACAGGGCAACCAAGGCAGTCTCCGTCCCAAAGCCCGGCCTAAAACCCGATAGAAATGGATCCAGAAAATCCGTTTCATCCAGCAGCACCTGGAGTTGTCCAGCCACAACCTGCTCCACACCTTGCCCAAATAAGGGAGGTTCACCACAGGCCAATAGTTCACCACCAGCCTTGGGTCCAGGTTAGGCTTTTTAAGGAGTGGCTGAATTACCGCCTCTTTCAAGAGTGCTGTCATATACTAGCTCAGTTTTCTTTTCTGAAGACTTTTAGAATGCCCAGTGATTAAGGAGAGAGGATGTATGACACAACATGATGTCCCTTTAATTGTTTGGCTAGCTTATCCATGAAGATTGAAAGAAAACAGAGAGTGCATTGATTCATTCAAACTATTTCATACTCAGTTGTTATACAGTTACAATGAAGATTCAAGTGTTGTGCCTCATACAAAAGTGAATACAAAAGCTCTCCAAACAGGTATTTCATCATCGTAATAATTTGCCATTTACTCCTTAATATTTTTTGCAGTCTCAGCAGTAGCTGGTAGATGATAAAGACAGTGGGTTATCACGATTGCTGTTGTGTCCTCTCCTACCTAATGAGCAGGCCTGTTCGGTCAAATCATTTCTACTTTTGACATGCTGCAAGTCATTGATTGCTAATCAACTCTCTAATGGAACATATGTTACAAGAAGATCGACAGTAGTTGTAAAAATTTATGGAGCTTGATTCCAAAGACAGTCTAGAAGGCAAGATGTAGAGTTAGGGTTACAAGATGGATCAAATGATAGCATTTAGTATAGGCTTGAATATGAATATATTCTGGAACAGGTGACATAACTGTCAACCCCCATCTCTAATAACCTTGCTTAATTCTAACAAGTGTTCTTAAGTTTTCTTAAGAAAGGTTTTTTTCTGATAAAAATACAGTACTCTTGTCTAAGAATAGTTTGGATTTAACTTCTAATTTGATACCTATTTGTTATAACATTCCTCCTTTGATTTATTCATACACTTTTTCTCTGCCACAGCCTAAATAATCACTAGAAATAAAAATCTCAGTGAGCCCACCCAGTTCATTCCTTTCAGTGCAGAGACAAGTAAAACACCAGATAGGAGTTTTTGCAGTTATTTGCACCCATTAAGATCTCATCTGAAAGGACTGGTTCCAGAGATTCCATATTCATTCTCCCCAGAGAATATCCTGGAGATGGGAAATATCTAAGGGGGGGCGCTTATAAACCTAACAGCTGATCGGCTGGCTCTTAAGAAGCTTCCAGAGGCTTGCTCAGCACCTAAAAAGGCAGGGAAATAAAGCTCCCCCACTTTCAGAAGCCTCCCGTTTTGAGTGGTGAACAAACCCTCCCAAAGCCTCTTCAGAGCCAGCCGATCAGCTGTTAGGTGGGGAGAGCAGGGGGCAAGAGCAGAGAAAAGCACAAAATGGCTGCCAGGCTCCCTTCTAGGTGTCAGCTTTTATCTGTTTGCTGCTCTTTTTCCTGCAGTTCGGGGGTTACCAAGGCCTGGTAATTGACTTTCTTTTATTCATTTTTAAGTTTCTGACCTTTTTTCCCCCTCAGCTGAGAGGTGGGGACGGAGGGGGGCACTTTGTTCTGTTCGTAACTGGAGGGAAGTTCACGTGTTGGGTTCCCTATTTCCCTATCGGAGCGGTTCGTAAGTTGAATTGTTCGCAAGTAGGGCAGTTCGTAAGTCGAGGGTTGACTGTAACTTTGTATGTTTTTTCAAGCCATGGCTCTATTGTTATCTTGAATCGTGTAATAGCACTCATGCTTGCTTTTGGCGTTTTTAGGCAGTGCTATGTCCTAAACACCAGAAGAAAACAGGTGTAACCCATTATGTTTATTTCTGTGGCATTCAATCTGGGCAGCATGGAAGACCATCTTCTCCATGCTAGATTCTCACTGTAATTTGTCAAGTGTAAGACAAAAAGGATGTCATCAGCATCATCTTGAATTTCTAACATACAGTATGCACTTAATTGAGCTACTGTGTTTATAGTTATCTGAGATGAAAGATAATGTAATGGATTTGCGTGTGATAGAATTGTAACAATCATATCAAAACTTCTCATCTTACCCATCCCTTTTGTGGTGTAGCCCATTTTTTCAAATAAACTTGTTCTCATCTTCTGGTGATAAGTTTCTGCTTTGGTTTTAGTTCTGTGGCTGTGGCCATACTATTTTGCTTATTTTAGCCTTTTTTAAAAAGTAGGGCAGGGTTTGTATAATACCCTGTTAAGCCTCACTCTTAAATGTTTTGATTCAGGTATGTCTTGGGAGTTCTGTTCCTTCTTCTTCCCCCCCGCCCTCACTTGAACAAATGCTTAAACCAGCAGAACCTGCGAGGAAATAACGTACTTGCCTAAAAAGAGAGTGAAGCTCTTTTTTAATAAGTCCAGAGAGAGCTTGACTGTTTTTCTCAGTGGATAGCCGTGTGTGTGCGTGTGTGTTCTCTATGTAATGAATACTAATATTTCATTGTCCCATCTTTTTCACTCTGTTTTTAGACATCACGCTCTTCAAAGAAAGTTCATAATTTTGGCAAGAGGTCGAATTCCATAAAAAGGAACCCTAATGCACCTGTTGTTAGACGAGGCTGGCTTTATAAGCAGGTATTGTCTGTCTGTCTTGCTGAATACTGTATGTACAATACCTACTGTATCTGAAACAGTGTTGAAATTTCAAGAGAAATTTCAACATGCACAGGTGTTGCTTTTATTATTCTTCGCTATGTAACGAGACATGTCCACTAATGGCATGTCTGAAACAATGTATTATTTGCATATTTGGAGTTTTGTTTTCTTCATATTTTGCTCGAATTGTACCCTAAGGACTTACTATCCCTATAAGAGGGAAGTAGGTGATTATTGCTCTGTAAATCTTCATATAACCAGTGAAGAATGCTTATGCATTAGTTATATGTTTGGTGTTCATTAGATTTGACTTATCTCCCAGTGTTGGGAGATGTTTGGAGATTGTTTTTGAATCTTTCCTGTTGCAGCACTAGCATTTTATACTTAGCCTTCCTTGTAAAGAAATGCAGTACAAGTAATTCTGATTTAATTTATCCTTAGAATAAGAAACACAGAAAATCGGGGGAGTTTTATAATAAAACCTTGCATTGATTCAAGAAAACTGTTATTTCCATTTTATCTTTTGATTACCGGAGAATTCTGCTGAAGGAATTTTATTTAATACTAGACAGCTATGCCAATCAAAACCCTTTGTTAGCTGTTGGGGCCAAAAATTATTATTTTCTTGCTTTGTGAACTGAGCAGCTGTAGTTATTAGTTATATGTTTGGGATTCATTAGACTTGATTTACCTCCTAATGTGACCAGTGATCACACTACGGGTAAAAGTGCTCCTTGTATCATCTCATATTGATGCATAACACAACTGAGGAGCTTGCATATTATTCTGTTTAGAGAAAGCAAGCTCTCTTGGCTTTCCAGCATTTTGACATATAGACGGTCAGTTTGAGGGAGGAACTGGCAGCAAAAAGCAGAACATTGTAAGGGGCTCCACTTTGAAGTTTTCTGTGTCTGCTAGATTTTGGTAGATTTAGCATATTTGTCTTTAAACGAACTATTTGAAATGCGGGTCTTTGTGAGCTAAAGAACTGGAACCTTGAGTTATATGTGCAGATGTGAAACAAAAAAAAAATTCCTTATTAAAAGTAGAAGTTCAAAATTTAAATTCCCGCCTGGGATGCACATCTTGAAAACAAGAAAGCAAGCACATCTGTTTAGTTATCTTAATAAAATAATTATCGTGTGCCCTTTTCTGTTAAAGAATATGCAGGAATTTGGCACTGTGCCGTCCCTGGATATCATCTCAAACCCATTCAAGAGGAGAGTACTTAAAATTCACTAATACCCTTCTTCCTTCAGCAGATTAACATATTTATTAAATTTTATTATCTGAGTGTATACACTCTGCTGTCATGCTGGTGGTAGCCATTCATTCTGAGAAACACATTGCGAATTGGTTACAGACATAAAAGCAAGTGAAATTGATTCCAGAATAAAGTTTTATGGCAATTAAGTGAGTAATAATACGGCCAGAACCAAGAAGGCATTCCATGGAGAAAAGGAAGCTGCTTTAAATGTGTTTAACTTCCCTACACTTCTTTTAGTTACCTGTTATTTATATTCTGCCTTTAATTGCTAGGAGATCTAAGGTGATAAAACTGTAGTCAGCAAGGCTATTAGTCAGGGATTATGAGAGATGTAGTCCAGATTATCTGGAGGATACTAGTAGTCTGCTCATGGTATGCAGAGCCCTTCCCCCTCCATTTTATCCTAACAGTAGCCTTTCAAAATGCATTGGAAAGGGTGGCATGAACACCCCCCCACCCCCCACACATACATACATACACCTTCCTAACCATTATGTCATGTTGGCTGTCATGAACGTATGAAATTGCCTTATATACAGACAGCCATATATTGATCTAGCTTACTGGTTCTTAAACCTTATACCTCATACGTAATACCTAAGAAAGCTGAAAAAGGACTGAGGCCCGCCAGTCAGGGCAGCAGATCCACTTTTCTATTCCCCCTCCCCCTTTGTGTTTACATGCTACCTACAGTAATTTTTAAGTAAATGGAGCAGCACTTTCCACAACATTACTCCCTCCCATCAGCTGAACAGATGCTGAAGGAGCCTGTACCTTTCTTATAGTAATGGTGCCTGCCACCACAAAAGCCACAGAAGAGGGATGTGGGCCAGTGTTTTAGTACCCAGAAACCTTTGTGTTATCAATGGCTGTGGATTCTATATTTGCTTTCATACAGGATAGCACTGGTATGAAACTCTGGAAGAAACGGTGGTTTGTTCTTTCGGATCTGTGCCTCTTCTACTATCGAGGTAAGTTTTGTGAATATTAAAAAGGGGGATTTGGATTTTTTTTTTTAAGTGAGCACTGGCATAAATAGAAGACAAATAAAAGGGATGATTTGATAGATAAACCTAATTTGCTCCACAGAACATCTATGGTTACTGTATAAGCCTCAGGCGATAACTAGTTACCCTTCTTTTTTCCCCCTCCCAACAAGGAGCTGTTGCTTTAAAGATTAAATGAACCTTCAAAGCTGTATGCTATGTTGCAGTGTGGGGATTGCAGTCTAATATATAGTAAAATAGGTGAAAGTCATCAGTTCCATACAGTTCACTTCCCTAACTAGAAACCCAGATCACTTCTGCCTTTTTTCCTGATCATTCCCCCAGTAACCTGCTATGCTGCCTGCTGATGATAACTACTGCTATATTGGTTGGTTGACAACATTTTTCCTTCCATTTTATTGCTAATAGAAAAATGTCCAATATAAAACCAAATTTAATCTTGCTCCAGAATAGGCAAGCAATTCTTCATATTCTGTATGGTTCATATACTTGACTTCTAGATATTTGATAGATGGATATTCTCTCTATAAACCAACCCGATCCCTATGATTTGCTGGGGAGGCCGTCCTCAGTGTCCCACCATTGACAACAGTTCATTGTGGAGAAGTGGGGGAGAGCTTTCTCACCAATAGCACCCTAACTATGAGACACGCCCTCCACTTGGAGGCTTGATTGGGCCAACATTGGCATTATTTTGGTGCAAATTTAAAACATGCTCATTTCTTAGAGCTCTTGGAGGGTCTTGGCATTCTTGGAAGAAACAGATAATCTGAATCCGTCCAATGGGACTTAGGCCATGGTGCACTCAGATGGGGAGGCATGGCAGGAAAGCCTGCAGTGAGCAGCCACTGGAGGATGCAGAAGAGGGAAGTGTATGCTGCAGTCCATGAGTGGTCAGTCATGCTAGGGAGGCAGGGAGGGAAGCATGTATTGCCCAGAAAATGGGTGAGCACACAGAGGAGGTGGGGCAGGGAAGTAGGCAGTGCCCACATAGCACCTGTGCAGGTGTGGTGTCAAACTGGGCTGAATCGCTGAGATGCAGTTCGTGTCCATCTCTACTCTCAATCCACGTTGCTACCGTGTTTCCCCAAAAATAAAACAGGGTCTTATATTAATTTTTGCATGATTTCTCTTGTTTTTAATTGCCATATTGTTTTATGTATTGTTATCTGTAAGATTTTTAACTTTTACCTTGTAAACTGCCCAAACAGACCTAGGTGTTCCATGTGGAGCAGAAAATTACGCATTTGTAAATGCTACCCTTAAAAAAGAGAGAAAATTAACTTTCACACATTCTTCTAGATAAGTCTGCAAATTACAACCTGGTGAAGACACTAAGGAGTCTTTTGTAGACCTTGAACCACTGCTTCTCCTCACACAGTTATAGTTCCCACGGAAAAGTTACTGACTCTTCGGCATAAAGTATAGTTATTTTGTTTGAAAGACGAAGAGGGAGTGAGGCTTACAGACTTGCTTAAAAAATATAGAGTGCCCTATAGTGTACCCTATATTGTGAACGCGAAGGTGAGGCACAGACCTAAGGAGACTGAAAAATACTTTATTAAACCAAGATCTGAAGTATACCCTGTTAGGCAGTAGGTGGAGATAATTTAAACCAAACTATTCAACACTCAAATGGAAGGCATTTATCTTCATTGCTCATATACAAAACTACTACTTCAGTGTGACTTTTTGACAGTATGAGTGACACTGTTCTTTCCCTACTCTACAACCATGACATTAATCATATCAAATGAGGGATGAGATCTGGCACCTTGTTTATCATCATTGGGTCTTATTTATGAGCTAGAAATCTGAGTTGACTTAGCATATGTTGCTTGAAGATATTATGCCTTAAATACACAGTATAGGGAGGCAAGTCCTGTCTCTAGCTGATCCTAGAACTCCAAAATTAATTGTACTTTAAATATAATTTAAAAGTAAAATAATTTTTAATTAATTTTGCTTTAAAATACATTTTGTAATAGTAATTGCAAAAACATTCAAAATCTCCAATGTCTTTTGCAATCATGATAGGCTTCTAGAAATCATAATGCATAGAAAAGATGAATGCTACAACATAGCACTCTTAAGTGTTTGAATGTAGAAACAGTAAGAATGCCATTATACTTAACATTTTCAAAGTACTGTTTGTAGGTTGCAAAACATGCATATATCTTCAGCCTGTACTGTGTACTACTCTAAATAAGAGATTACCAAAAATAAATTCATCTAATAGTCTATTTAGATGACATAAAGAGAGATATTCTGTATGACGACAAAAAAGCAGCCATTTGTTTTTAGTAATTCAGTCATGACAAGAGGGGGAAATGTTGGAGAACAGAAAATTATGGCTATTCTTTTCATTTATTGATTGAAGACAATATTATCCTGACTGTTTGCCTCAGAACGCGCTCAAAGTTATTCACGTTTAATGTATAGAAATAAACATAAAATACTGAATAAAAGCAAGAAAAGCAATTGATCATTTAAATAATGGTGTAATATAAAAAAAAAAACCTAAAGAAACAAGTAGTCTTGAAACAGACCATGACAAATAAACAAAGAGGAGCAATTCAAGCAAGATTTTCAGATAGGACCAAATTACATCAAGAATATGTAATTCTCAGAAACTGAGAAAATCTACTGATGAAAATTTAAAAAGGGAAAAATAATATGCAGTTCCAGACCTTGGAATGACTTGCAAACCAAGATCTTCCAGTGCAACTACAGTTGCAATTTGGAATTGTGTTAATCCCTCTTTGAAAAACATCCATCACGGTTATACATTTATTAAAATACATATATGTACAAATAATCTCATTTTGTAATCACTTTACAAATCTAGAACTATTATATTCAGAAAAACTATAGATTGTTGGAAAAAAAACCACCCTGCTTCTGAGTCTGAATGACTGTTAACCATAGAACTGTAATTTTGAACCCAGAAACTTTGGTCAAACTAAAATTATACTATGATTAGAAAGATTGCCAGATTGTTGGTGGGTTTTCTGTACTGAAATGAAAAAGTCATTTCAGCTGTGTTTGTCCAGGCATGCAGTTTCTCAATTCAAGGCAACCATTTTAGCTTTTTGTTTTTTGTTTTTTTGAGAAACATCACATTGTGTACATCAGGGATATTAATAATAACCAAGTTCAGAAGTTTTATCTATTTGTGTTGCTAATTCCACTTAATGTTTTCCACTTGGTTAAATTAGTTTAAGGCTAGATAAGAAATATAAAGGATGACGTGCTTAAGGTGCATGAAAAATACACCAAAGCTATTTATATACCATTTCAGCAGATGCAGTAGGGTAACCAGATATTCTGCTAATCATTTTTAAGAATTAGAAATGGTTATTATGGCACATCAAACACATTAACCCTCACCTTTTCAAGTTGATAAGCTGCATTTTTAAAAAATCTTGTACTGTTGCCTTTTAGCACAAGTTGTAAACGGTGGTATAGGTTCTCACAGAACGCTTCACCATGAAGTAACATGAGGAATAATTTGAATTATAAGAGAGAAAAGAGGCATTTTTTTTTTAGTAGATCTTTACAGAGTTCTGCATTTGGAGTTGGATCTCCCTCCCAAAGCTGCTAAGGAACAGTGGCTTCTGGAGGCTATCCATGTAGCCTCTTCTAAGCTTTTTCTTTGAAGGCTTCCCCTGAAGAACTGTCCAGTCTAAATCCAGTCTAAAAATAAAGAACATGAAAAGGGAGAACAGGGGTCTTGATGTTGTCAGTCAGCATTTTGTATCTGTGTGGTAGACTAAGCCGATAAGATAAATCACATTTTTTAAAAGTCTTCCCTCAGTGTAGTGAAATAGATTAAAATTATTTAAATTTTGATAACTCTGATTTGCAACTGTACAAATCACTGAGCACATACAATGTTATGCACATCTGTTTCCCCCCCCCTTTCTTTCTGGTGATGCTTTGTTTGTCCTTCCTTCTTGTGATGCTATCTTCTCCTTAATCTTGGCTCTTGGGACACCCATATTGTCTTGTCCGTTGTCTGTGTTTTCAGTCTGTGCTTTCTAGTCCTTCCTAATTTGGAAAGATCTTTATTGTGGGCAATGGATGAAAATTCTCTCTCCAAGCAAAAGTGTACTGAGAGGAAGTATGCTGTCCCCACTTCCCTCACAGTTCTGTCATGTTGGGTTAAAAGCTGGGGTTGTCTGATCTGTCCTGTCCTTAATCTTGGCCCGTGGGACATTTAAAAGCACATTGCGGGCTCATATCTTGTTTGTTGTCGCTTTCTGTCTCTCTTTCTCTTGTCTCTCTCACCTGAGGAAGCTTTGTTCTTGTTATGCCTTGCCTGATGGGGAATAACATGCAGTTGTTTCAGTTACACTTTCTTAGGAGCAGTTACAGCAGTACAGGTACAAAGAGTCATAGTTACTACCATCACAACAGTGATGTGGTGATATGCTTGATACTTGGATTAACAACTAGCCAAAATCGTTTTCTGTAAGTTACACCATTGTGAAGGTAATTATGTCAGTGGCAGAGAGCAGTTGCCAGTAACTGAATAGTACATCCTTCAATCTTGGGGTTTACATGACACACGCATAATGAGGCTGATTGTGTGCAAGTTGTACAAGCCCTGGGATCGAAGCAGGAACTCTTTAATTCCCGGCAGTCTCCCATTGCCAGTAACACTGGCATAGTTTACACACCAGGATTTTGGCCATTATATTTCTTGCTGTACATCATATTGCACATTGGTAATAGCAGAGGAACATAACATAAAATGTTATATTTAAATACCCTGTTTCCCCGAAAATAAGACCTAACCTGAAAATAAGACCTAGTATGATTTTTCAGGATGCTTGTAATGTAAGCCTCACCCCAAAAATAACCTCTAGTTAAGTGAAACCCCGCCCTCCACCATTGTGCAGAAGATGACGTGACTATATTTGAATAAATGTAGATTGTTGTCCATGAAAAAAAATAAAACA